GGTTCAGGACCACATCCGACTGGGAAGCTGGACCCCACGCAACACACTGAGCCAGTCGTGGCCGGTGGGAACCGGTGGGAGCCGGTGGGAACCGGTGGGAACCGGTGGGAACCGGTGGGAGCCGGTGGGAACCGGTGGGAGCCAGCACGCAGGAAACAAGGGGGTTGGGGGATCCAGGTAGGCAATGGCCCGGGAGGCAAGTTGGACTCAATGATGAAAGGGCCCGTGGAAAGGTCATAGACGGAGGTCACGGTCCAGGGCCGAGCCGGCCACGTCCCGGGAAATCCAAGGCCGAGGGATCGGCATTCTCGTGATCCTCGAATCCAACGGTGCCGACAAGGACACGGGTCCAGGGAAGGAAGACCATCCGATGCCCCGTTAGGATAAATCCGGTGAATCCAGGGCCCAGGGGCCAGCCTGGCGGGAAGAGAGAGAGAGCAGATGAGGAGAATGAGGCCCCCACCACCCCCCCGTGCAAGCAGCCTGGGCATCCATCACGCCGTTCAAATCGTATTCCTGTTAGCCCTCACTGGCGTGGCTCAGTGGGTAGAGCGTCGGCCTGCTGGACGGAAGGGTCCCGGGTTCGATTCCCGGTCAAGGGCATGGGCCTCGGTGGCTGAGGGCACATCCCCGGTGGGGGGCGTGCAGGAGGCGGCGGATGGATGTTTCTCTCTCATCGTTGATGTTTCTAAATCTCTGTCCCTCTTGTTTTCTCTCTGTTAAAAAAAATCAATAAAATATATTTTAAAAAAAAAAAAAAATCTTATTTTTGTAGAATGTTGCTTTTCTTGGAAGTATGTTTTATCAGAGCCCTGGTGCATGGATTTCATGCACTCAGGGGGTTGGAAGGTGTGCACCTCAGTAAGGATGGCTGGAGGGTGCAAGCCAGGCCGAGGGGCCCCCCCGGGGCAGGATCGGGGCCGGGGAGGGAGGGACGGGGAGGTGGGCCGGCCGGGGAGGGACCGAGGGGGGGCTCCAGGGCATGTCCGGCCCGTCTCGCTCAGTCCCGATCGGCCGGACCCCAGCAGGAAGCTGACCTGCTGGTCGGAGCGTCTGTCCCCTGGTGGTCAGTGAGCGTCATAGTGACTGGTCGGCCGGTCGACTGTCTGGCCCCCTGGTGGTCAGTGCACGTTATAGCGACTGGTCAGCCGGTCGACAGTCTGCCCCCTGGTGGTCAGTGAGCGTCATAGCGACCGGTCGGCCGGTCGACTGTCTGGCCCCTGGTGGTCAGTGCGCATCATAGCGACTGGCCGACTGGTCAACTGTTTGCCCCCTGGTGGTCAGTGCACGTCATAGCGACCGGTCGGCCAGCCGACTGTCTGCCCCCTGGTGGTCAGTGCGTGTCACAGCGACTGGTCGACCGGCTGACTGTCTGGCCCCTGGTGGTCAGTGCACGTCATAGCGACCGGTCGGCCGGTCGACTGTCTGCCCCCTGGTGGTCAGTGCATGTCAAAGAGACTGGTCTACTGGTCTATTGGTCGACTGGTAAACTGTCTGCCCCCTGGTGGTCAGTACATGTCATAGCGAGCGGTTGAGCGGCCTTAGCATATCATTAGCCTCTGACGTTTGATTGGTGGAACGGCCGACCAGGCAACCAGACACTTAGCACATTAGGCTTTTATGCTATAGGATTGATTTTCAGAGAAGTAAGAAGAAGGAGATAAAGAGAAGAGAGAGAGAGGAGAGAGAGAGAGAGAGAGAGAGAGAGAGAAAGAGAGAGAGAGAGAGAGAGAGAGAGAGAGAGAGAGAGAAAGAGAGAGAGAGAGAGAGACATCCATGAGGAGGGAGAATCATGGACCGGCTGCCTCCTGCACACAATCACCTGGGGATGGAGCCCACAACCCACGCATGTGCCCTGGACCGGGAATCGAACCCTGACCTCCTGGTTCCTGGGGTGGACGGACGGTCAACCACTGAGCCAGACAGGCCCGGCCGATGGGAGAATTTAAACAGTGACGACTCCTCCGTCAACACCTCCAGGTTGACAAACACTCCATCCAAGTCTCGGTGGGATGAAGGATCAATTTCCCAAACACGGGTGTGGCTCAGTGGTTAGAGCGCCGACCTAGGAACCAGGAGGTCCCGGGTTCGATTCCCCGTCCAGGGCACAGGCCCGGGTGGCGGGCTCCGTCCCCAGCAGGGGGGCGTGCGGGAGGCAGCCGGTCCCTGATTCTCTCTCATCATCATGGGTGTTTCTCTTTCCCTCTCCCTTCCTCTCTGAAATCAATGTTTTAAAAACTATTTAAAAAAAAAAAAAAAACAACAACAACAACAGCAACAAAACAAAACAGCTCCATCCAGCGTAGCTCATCGGACAGAGCCGACGTCGGCCTGCGGACGGGAGGGTCCCGGGTTCGATTCCCTGTCAAGGGCCCGGACCTTGGTGGCTGAGGGCACATCCCCGTTGGAATGCGTTGCAGGAGGCAGCGGATGGGGGTCTCTCTCTCTCTCTCTCTCTCTCTCTCTCTCGTCGATGTTCCTACGTCTCACACGCGCACGAAAGGAAGTCTTTATTCAATCACCGTCTGGCCAGGGGGGTGGGTGTGTTGGACGATGCAGATCCTAAGGCATTGTCCTCAAACCCCAGGCCGAATGCGTGCAAGAAGCAATAATCAAAGCCTGGCCAGTGTGGCTTAATGGTTGGCGTCAACCTACAAAGATATATATATATATAAATTATATATATATATATATATATATATATATATATATATATATATATGGTCCTGTGCACTAAGTTCAAGCACTGGGTGGGGAGGGGGTGTCCCTCAGCCCAGCCTGCGCCCTCTCCAATATGGGGCCTCTGATGGGGTGTCTGACGGCCCGTTTAGGGTCGGGCCTAAGTGGGCAGTCAGGCATCCCTCCCACAGTCCAGGACGGCTGGCTCCCAATGCTCGCCAGCCTGCCTGGTCGCCCCTAACTGCCCTCCCCTGCAGGCCTGGTCGCCCCTAACTGCCCTCCCCTGCAGGCCTGGTCGCCCCCAACTGCCCTCCCCTGCAGGCCTGGTCGCCCCTAACTGCCCTGCCCTGCAGGCCTGGTCACCCCTAACTGCCCTCCACTGCAGGCCTGGTTACCCCCAACTGCCCTACCCTGCAGGCCTGGTCGCCCCTAACTGCCCTCCCCTGCAGGCCTGGTCGCCCCCAACTGCCCTCCCCTGCCGGACTGGTCACCCCTAACTGCCCTCCCCTGCAGGCCTGGTCACCCCTAACTGCCCTCCGCTGCAGGCATGATTGCCCCTAATTGCCCTCCCCTGCAGGCATGATGTCCACTAACTGCCCTCCCCTGCAGACCTGGTCACCTCCAACTGCCCTCCCTGCTGGCCTGATTGCCCCTAACTGCCCTTCCCTGCAGGCCTGGTCACCCACAACTGCCCTCCCCTGCAGGCCTGGTCACCACCAACTGCCCTCCCCTGCTGGCCTGCTCACCCCTAACTGCCCTCCCCTGCAGGCCTGGTCACCCCCAACTGCCCTCCCCTGCAGGCCTGGTCGCCCCCAACTGCCCTCCCCTGCAGCCTGGTCACCCCTAACTGCCCTCCCCTGCAGGCTTGATTGCCTCCAACTGCCCTCCCCTGCAGGTCTGGTCACACCCAACTGCCCTTCCCTGCAGGCGTGGTCACCCCTAACTGCCCTCTCCTGCAGGCTTGTCACCCCCAACTGCCCTCCCCTGCAGGACTGGTCACCCCTAACTGCCCTCCCCTGCAGGCCTGGTCGCCCCTAACTGCCCTCCCCTGCAGGACTGGTCGCCCCTAACTTCCCTCCCCTGCAGGCCTGGTCACCCCCAACTGCCCTCCTCTGCAGGCCTGGTCCCCCCCTAACTGCCCTCCCCTGCAGGCCTGATCGCCCCCAACTGCCCCCCTGCAGGCCTGGTCACCTTTAACTGCCCTCCACTGCAGGCCTGATTGCCCCTAATTGCCCTCCCTTCTGGTCTGATTGCCCCTAACTGTCCTCCCCTGCAGACATGATGTCCACTAACTGCCCTCCCCTGCCGGCCTGGTCACCTCCAAGTGCCCTCCCCTGTAGGCCTGGTCACACCCAACTGCCCTCCCCTGCAGGCCTGGTCACACCCAACTGCCCTCCCCTGCAGGCCTGGTCACCCCCAACTGCCCTCCCCTGCCAGCCTGATTGCCCCTAACTGCCCTCCCCTGCAGGCCTGGTCCCCCCCAACTGCCCTCCCCTGCAGGCCTGGTTACCCCCAACTGCCCTCCCCTGCAGGCCTGGTCACCCCTAACTGCCCTCCCCTGCAGGCCTGGTCACCCCTAACTGCCCTCCGCTGCAGGCCTGATTGCCCCTAATTGCCCTCCCTTCTGGTCTGATTGCCCCTAACTGCCCTCCCCTGCAGGCATGATGTCCACTAACTGCCCTCCCCTGCCGGCCTGGTCACCTCCAAGTGCCCTCCCTGCTGGCCTGATTGCCCCTAACTGCCCTTCCCTGCAGGCCTGGTCACCCACAACTGCCCTCCCCTGTAGGCCTGGTCACACCCAACTGCCCTCCCCTGCAGGCCTGGTCGCCCCTAACTGCCCTCTCCTGCAGGACTGGTCACCCCTAACTTCCCTCCCCTGCCGGCCTGGTCCCCCTAACTGCCCTCCCCTGCAGGCCTGGTCGCCCCTAACTGCCCTCCCCTGCAGGCCTGGTCACCCCCAACTGCCCTCCCCTGCAGGCCTGGTCGCCCCTAACTGCCCTCCCCTCCAGGCCTGGTCGCCCCTAACTGCCCTCCCCTGCAGGCCTGGTCGCCCCTAACTGCCCTCCCCTGCAGGCCTGGTCACACCCAACTGCCCTCCTCTGAAGGCCTGGTCACACCTAACTGTCCATCTAGGAACCAGAAGCTCAGGGTTCGATTTCCAGTTAAGGGCACAGGCTCGGGTCATGGGCTCAATCCCCAGTAGGAGGCGTGCTGAGGCAGCAGATCAATGATTCTCTCTCAATCGTGGATGCTTCTCTCTCTCTCTCTCTCTCTCTCTCTCTCTCTCTCTCTCTCTGTCTCTCTCTTTCTCCCTTTCCCAT